GGGGATCGCGCCTCTCTCCCTGGGCTCCCCCCTCTCTCGGGAAGGTCTATTTTCGCTCAGCTTCCCTCTGTCTCTGGTTTCATTTCCTTTTCCTGATCACGATTCAAATACAATAGAAGGAAATCACATTTAAAGGGACAGCTGCCCGGTAGCCCCCACCCCCATTTTTTCTTTTTCTTTTTTTTAATGGGGCTCCTGGGGATTTGCAATACAAACAGCAGCAGCAGCAGCAGCAGGACAGACTTGGCTTCTTAAAGGGGCCAGCGTTGGGGACAGGGAGTCGCTCAGTGAACCTCTCTCCTTGGAGAGGCGGCTGGGCTGCCTCTAATCATTCCCAGGGCTTCCCCTCTGCGCTTCCCTTTTGGTTAACGAAGGCTATAAAAGTCACCAGCGGGCTGCTCAGGAAGAAAGAAAAGGCAAGAACGTGAAATAAGCACATACAGAAAGGCAAGCGTCCCGAGTGGCTTCCGCGCGCGTCCGGGGTTCGAGGTCCCAGGTCCCAGGTCCGCGGTTGTGCTGCGCGGGTGCCCGGGACAGCGCGGCTCTGCGGGCCGCGGGCGTGTGTCTGCTCTCCAGACAGGCGACTGGATCTGTGCAAGCGAGGACTGCGCGGGCCGGGTCTGCCTGAGCGCCGCCAGGGCTGCTAATCCCAGAGGGAGGGTGGTTGGGAGGGACCACGCTGGTCTAGTCTCCTCTCCTCTCCATCTGCTGGCGGACGAATTCCCTCCCTCAGCATCTTTGAAAAACCAGACTCCTGCGGCTAACCTGCCCCCCGGTAAAATGCCAGCCATACGCTCTGCACAAGAGAAGTGCCTTTCCGCTGATGGAGAGCAATGAATGATCAAGGGACCATTTTGCCCTGGGTCAGGAGAAGAGGAAAAAGCCAGACTTGATTTTGGAGTTCAGCTTTCCCCTCTAACCTCAAGGGCAAATTCTAGGAAGAGGAGGGGGAGATACAGAAGGGGAGAGGAAGCTAATAGTCTGCCCTTCTGTATAGAAAAACTTTGGAGATCAACCAAAGGACTTGTATGCATGCATATAAGCATAACCGATGGACATGGGACACTGGGGGATAGGGGAGGCTGGGGGACTGTCTGGGGCCGGGGGAAAAAATGGACACATATGTAATACCCTTTGTAATAAAATATTTAAAAAAAAAAGAAAAACTTTGGGTCCCTTGGGCCATGTCAGAGTTCCTTCAAAAGGATCACATTCAGAAATTATTATTAAAGGCCCATTTGTGCATGACGCGCCAGTCACCAGTCTTGT